GTGCGAAAATGGAGCTTTCTCAATGCTTGGCTACACTTGGTGAGTCCATTGGGTTGTTGAGTCTATTTGCAGGTGAAAGCGATTTGGAAGAAAAGCTAAGGAGGTTGAAAATGCAAGTTAACGAGCTTAAGAAATTTGTTGTAGAAGCAAAAGTGGAACCTAATTTTTGGTTTGTACCGTTTAATAGTGTTTGTTATAATAAGGTTTTGGGGTCACTGTCAAGAATGGTGGAGCTCTTGTGGTTCGGAGAACGTGGTTTGAAGTTCCTCCACCAAGAATTCCAACGATGTGGGGCTTACGAGAAAGAGGATGTGAAGATGCTAAACGCTATAGTCGAACATGTGAGGGAGCTTATTGACTCATCCATAAAAAATCTTGAAGAGATTTGTAGAATGAAAGGTGATGAAAAGAATGAAAAGGCTTGTGATGTTGAATCAGGAAAGTCAAGGTGCATGGTTTTAGGTTTAGGAGAAGATGGAATAGAAGAAAGAATTGGATGTTTTCTGGAACAGTGTAGAAGTGTTGTTGATAAGTTAGATGGTGATGAAAGTGAAGTGAAGAGCCAAGTTGTTCTGAGTTTGAGTGCTTTAGGGTTGTGTTTGTTTTCATGCATACGAGAAACAATAGAAATCGAAGAAGCAATTATTGAAATTGTACAATGAGAAATCAGTGGTGTTTTTAATATTTTTAACATAAATTAATAAAGAAAAACATTACCATAGAAAAATATGTATCTTTATCTTTATTGAAAGTGAAAAAGGTAGATATTGTATCCGGATTGGAAGAAGAAAAAAAGGTGGCTGATTGCCATCATCAACATCATTCAACTCATAGCATGAACAGGTCGAGAAAAAAAGGTACACACTTCTAGACTGAGTGCAACATGAGAATTTTCAAATAAAAGCAGTGCAGTTGAAATTTTCTTCATCTACAGTTGAAGTTCTTACATGAATTTTTTGTTAGTTCTGCAAAGTGGGTTACAGTTATTGAATGATGATGAATCTAGCTAGTGACTAGCATCTTAATCGAATTGAAGATTTAATAGAATTGAATATTTGACTAACACTTCTCCCCGAGAGTGTGCACACACATATTATAATATTGACATATTCACATCAAAAGCAAAGCAAAACATGAAACCAAAGTGCATTTGTTTCTTAGAAATAATAAATATTAAAATTAAGGGTGATTTAATTTTGAGTTAAAGGATATAAAAATAATTAAACAGTGCAATTAATTTTTAAATATTAAACAGCGCAGTAAGAAGGATGATCTAAAATTTATAAAAGAAAATATATATATATATATATATATATATATATATATATATATATATATTAAAAAAATTATTATATTTTTTTGCTGAATTTCTTACAAAAATATACTTACAAATTTAATTTTTCAGGAAAAATTAGTTGAAAATATTTAATTTACAAGAAAATTTGCTACGGATATTTTTTATAAAAAATTCTGTAAGAAATATTTTAGGAATTTTTAAATTTAAATGTAACTTACCCACCAAGGTATTACTTATTAAAATTCTTTAAAAAAACTGATAGGAAACAATTTTCTGTAAATTTTTGAAAAAAATCTACAAGAAAATCTTTATTGAAATATGGAAAATTTTAGCAGTCATGAAAGAGATCAATTTTTTTTAGTTGAAATTTACAATGCTAAATAACTAAATTAGTTTTGACAACTTATATATAAATTAACTCCACCCATGTTAAGAAAGATTATCGTTTTGATATATTCGTGCTCCACTTTGAAACAATTTTTTTTATTAAACTTTATTTACCCCATAATCTAAAATGGATAGTTGAGACGTTGGTAGAATGTTTTTTTTATTACAACAATTTAATTAATTAACTAAAGGGTTAAAGATTAACTTTGAATTGGACGCTATTAATTAATAGTTAAAAGGAAATTAATTCCATTGAAATAAAAGCATTTGAAAAATTGTCAAAGTAACTATTAATAAATATAAAATTACACAATAACTTTTAGTGTAACTACAAGATATATATTAGATATTAAACTGGAATAATATGTATGATTTGACTGTACGTTTTTCATTTTTAATAAAATCGTTATTTGATTTTCATTGACTAGTTCTTTAATATTTATCGTTATATTTCCCGCCATAATTTAAAAGTAAATATGTTTAAGTGATGACATAATTGTATTTAAATATTTCAAAATTAGGATTTTTTTTTTTTAAATATTATAGCAAATGTTGTTTTTTCAAATTATAGATCTATACTTTAGGGTTGTTGGTTCCTTTAGATTAATATGAAGATGTAACCAAATAATTAAACTACCTAGAATTTTTATTCTAATAAAAAAATTTAGTAAACAAGATTTTTCCTTGTTTAAAATTTTAAACAACATTTTATCGTAACTGAGGGACCTACCAGTTCGTCAAAACATGGAACCTAGTACCTTATCTGCCTGCCAGTTCACGTTGTACTGCGCATTGTGTAAGTGTAAGTAACCTTAAACCTAGTGTTACTGCTGAGAAACTTCCATTCTCATGCACTTCACCAAATTCACCAAAATGACAGAGATGATATGATATTCTTCAAAATGAATTGAATTGCACTTATATCAAAGTATAATTCCTATCATTCGATCCATCTTCTGTTAGGTAGTAATTATAGTCATAGAAGCAAAATTCAATGTGGGGTTTGGTTTGGTTGTGTCGGGTTTGGTTTGGTTTTTCTTTTCTGAATCTTTACTGCAGAATAATAGTTTGGTGTGATTTCCATTACTATTGTCGTTGTCCAGGAGCTTTCATTATGTCCTTCAACTTTCCGTGACTTTCAAGCTTTCCAAATTGAATTATGTTTTTCAGGGGGTAATTTTATCTATTCTATGCTTAAAGTTTTGATTTTTTTTTTTATCAAACTTCCAAATTGAATTTAGAAGTTTGGTGGAATAATTTTTCATATCTTGGTTGTCATTCATCTATATAAATGGGTCTGCGATCTTGCAGTAGTGGTAAGACAAGAGTGGTTAGGGTTTTGGTTTGGTGCTTTTGTGAAGCTATATATCTTGGTGTTCTTTTGAGATCAGGTGCTTGACTTGCTCTGTTACTTTCTTATTCTGATTGCTTTTAATGGCATTTGTCACTCTTTTCCCTATTTGTTGCTCCAATTGACCCCTTTTAAATAGATATCAGTTCACATGATTTGGGTTGGGAAATTTATATCTTATTTAGTTTAAATGTTCTGTGCTAAGCATTGATCACCCGAACATTTGTGTAGGAATTAATTTCTGAGGTCCAAACAATGGCAACGGATTCTTCCAATGGTAATGGACATCACCAGACGACAACATCAATAACAACAACAAAGACACCTCCTTCACCATCTCCCCTGCGCTTTTCCAAATTTTTTCAGGTGAAGCATTGATCCTTTTAGCTTGACTATCATTTTCCATACAAGATCATTTACGTTTCTTGTTTGATCCAATTTCATGTTCGTTCAGTTATTTAGTGTCATTTTTTTTACTAAAAGTACACTAACGATCATGAGGTGTTAGTAAATTTAGAAAATGGTTACTTTGAGGATGGCCATTTTGTCTCGTTTTGATGCCATGTTTACATGTATCTCTTTCATTCTTGATAATAGTCCAACATGAGGATCTTGGTCACTGGAGGAGCTGGATTCATTGGATCTCACTTAGTTGACAGATTGATGGAAAATGAAAAAAATGAGGTCAGCTGGTTGATTTTTTGCTCATAACCTGTAATCATCCTATATTTGATAAATACAGCATCTGGAACTAAGTTTGATTACATAAAGTTATGCGACAATATCATTGTGTTTAATCAGGTCATTGTTGCTGACAACTACTTCACTGGATCCAAGGACAACCTCAAAAAATGGATTGGCCATCCAAGATTTGAGCTTATCCGTCATGGTAAAGTATCATCTTTTTTTACTGTCAACTATCAATGCCAATGAAATTGTCATAAGCAAGATAAAGTGAAGATTTTTGTTGATTTATTTTTTGCTCAGTAAGCTGATATATTTGAGCTTGTAGATCTTTTGCATTCAGCGTAAGCTTCATAGTTGTTACACCATGAATTAAAGAAACCATTATTTTTTAACTGTTTATTTAATAACCAGTTAGTTAACCATCCCATGCTGTTGTAAGGGAACAATAATGAACTAATGCTGATAGGATACTATTCTATTGACTAGTTATGTCTAACTAAAGGGATACAAATAAGAGTAAATCATAGTTCTCTGCCTTCTTTCATCCATCCAGGAAATATATATAAGAAAAAACATGTTTCAAAAATTGGCTACAATCGAGTAACAGAAGGGAATCAAATAAATAAAAGACTCACTACTTGCCGGTTAAAACCATTTTCTATATTTACTTAATCGTTTTGGGTGGCTTGGGTTGCTGTCAGATACTGATTCTGCATTACTATGTTCAGCATTACTAGATCATTTTTGTAAACCAATGATGTTGATGCTAATTATGAATTTGATACATTGGTAGATGTCACGGAGCCTTTGCTGATAGAGGTTGATCAGATCTACCATCTTGCATGCCCTGCCTCTCCTATATTCTACAAATACAATCCAGTGAAGGTATAATTTTGAGAGTCTATTTGCCTTTCTAGTACTTCACATGCATACTAACTTTAAGGGAGTGATTGCTTTACAGACTATAAAGACTAATGTCATAGGCACTCTCAATATGCTTGGGCTTGCAAAGAGAGTAGGAGCAAGGTTGTGATTCTTTTTTAACGATAATCTCAATTCGCTGCCATTAGTTGGTCTTAATTAGTTTGAATTTTACTGACAGGATTTTGCTTACATCAACTTCTGAGGTATATGGAGATCCTCTTGTGCACCCTCAACCTGAAAGCTATTGGGGAAATGTTAACCCAATTGGTAGGTTCCTTTATTTCATTCCCATCTTGAATAAAAGAGCTTCTTGAATGGAACTATTTCCATTGATGAATATGAACTCTAAATTACTGGAGATATATGTATCCTTTTATGCATATTCTTAAAGCTGTGGTCTGAGGTCTTTAATATATGATGATATCAGGAGTCCGTAGTTGCTATGATGAGGGGAAACGGGTGGCTGAAACTTTGATGTTTGATTACCATAGGCAGCATGGGATTGGTAATTTTCATGTCTTCTTTTCCTCATAATAGCTTCTCATTTTTTCTAAGGCGTATGCAGTAAGTGTTTCCTTTTTTAACTCTTCGCGGTGTTTTTATCTTTTCAAAATAGAAATACGCATTGCAAGAATCTTTAACACATATGGACCACGCATGAATATTGACGATGGGCGTGTTGTTAGCAATTTCATTGCTCAAGCACTTCGGTAATTACTTGACTGTTTTCTGGTATAAATTCGTGCTATGATGTCGTTACCTCTGCATGTTTTGTTATGGTTTAACCATTGCATGATTTGTTCAATGATCATGCTTGATTGCAACTCTAGATCGATCATTGATATAATATAATTGTTTTAAATTTTAATACTTTAAGTTTAGTGACTCGCTATAATTTTTATTTCTTTCTTAGACTTATTGTTATTTTGATTCAATCTCATTATATAATCAATGGTTCGTTATAGGGGGGAGTCCTTGACAGTCCAAAGTCCAGGAACTCAAACTCGAAGTTTCTGTTATGTCTCTGACCTGGTATATATCCCGTAATCTTTGTATCTTTGAATTACTACTACCTGAATGTNACTTATATATAAATTAACTCCACCCATGTTAAGAAAGATTATCGTTTTGATATATTCGTGCTCCACTTTGAAACAATTTTTTTTATTAAACTTTATTTACCCCATAATCTAAAATGGATAGTTGAGACGTTGGTAGAATGTTTTTTTTATTACAACAATTTAATTAATTAACTAAAGGGTTAAAGATTAACTTTGAATTGGACGCTATTAATTAATAGTTAAAAGGAAATTAATTCCATTGAAATAAAAGCATTTGAAAAATTGTCAAAGTAACTATTAATAAATATAAAATTACACAATAACTTTTAGTGTAACTACAAGATATATATTAGATATTAAACTGGAATAATATGTATGATTTGACTGTACGTTTTTCATTTTTAATAAAATCGTTATTTGATTTTCATTGACTAGTTCTTTAATATTTATCGTTATATTTCCCGCCATAATTTAAAAGTAAATATGTTTAAGTGATGACATAATTGTATTTAAATATTTCAAAATTAGGATTTTTTTTTTTTAAATATTATAGCAAATGTTGTTTTTTCAAATTATAGATCTATACTTTAGGGTTGTTGGTTCCTTTAGATTAATATGAAGATGTAACCAAATAATTAAACTACCTAGAATTTTTATTCTAATAAAAAAATTTAGTAAACAAGATTTTTCCTTGTTTAAAATTTTAAACAACATTTTATCGTAACTGAGGGACCTACCAGTTCGTCAAAACATGGAACCTAGTACCTTATCTGCCTGCCAGTTCACGTTGTACTGCGCATTGTGTAAGTGTAAGTAACCTTAAACCTAGTGTTACTGCTGAGAAACTTCCATTCTCATGCACTTCACCAAATTCACCAAAATGACAGAGATGATATGATATTCTTCAAAATGAATTGAATTGCACTTATATCAAAGTATAATTCCTATCATTCGATCCATCTTCTGTTAGGTAGTAATTATAGTCATAGAAGCAAAATTCAATGTGGGGTTTGGTTTGGTTGTGTCGGGTTTGGTTTGGTTTTTCTTTTCTGAATCTTTACTGCAGAATAATAGTTTGGTGTGATTTCCATTACTATTGTCGTTGTCCAGGAGCTTTCATTATGTCCTTCAACTTTCCGTGACTTTCAAGCTTTCCAAATTGAATTATGTTTTTCAGGGGGTAATTTTATCTATTCTATGATTAAAGTTTTGATTTTTTTTTTTTTTTATCAAACTTCCAAATTGAATTTAGAAGTTTGGTGGAATAATTTTTCATATCTTGGTTGTCATTCATCTATATAAATGGGTCTGCGATCTTGCAGTAGTGGTAAGACAAGAGTGGTTAGGGTTTTGGTTTGGTGCTTTTGTGAAGCTATATATCTTGGTGTTCTTTTGAGATCAGGTGCTTGACTTGCTCTGTTACTTTCTTATTCTGATTGCTTTTAATGGCATTTGTCACTCTTTTCCCTATTTGTTGCTCCAATTGACCCCTTTTAAATAGATATCAGTTCACATGATTTGGGTTGGGAAATTTATATCTTATTTAGTTTAAATGTTCTGTGCTAAGCATTGATCACCCGAACATTTGTGTAGGAATTAATTTCTGAGGTCCAAACAATGGCAACGGATTCTTCCAATGGTAATGGACATCACCAGACGACAACATCAATAACAACAACAAAGACACCTCCTTCACCATCTCCCCTGCGCTTTTCCAAATTTTTTCAGGTGAAGCATTGATCCTTTTAGCTTGACTATCATTTTCCATACAAGATCATTTACGTTTCTTGTTTGATCCAATTTCATGTTCGTTCAGTTATTTAGTGTCATTTTTTTTACTAAAAGTACACTAACGATCATGAGGTGTTAGTAAATTTAGAAAATGGTTACTTTGAGGATGGCCATTTTGTCTCGTTTTGATGCCATGTTTACATGTATCTCTTTCATTCTTGATAATAGTCCAACATGAGGATCTTGGTCACTGGAGGAGCTGGATTCATTGGATCTCACTTAGTTGACAGATTGATGGAAAATGAAAAAAATGAGGTCAGCTGGTTGATTTTTTGCTCATAACCAGTAATCATCCTATATTTGATAAATACAGCATCTGGAACTAAGTTTGATTACATAAAGTTATGCGACAATATCATTGTGTTTAATCAGGTCATTGTTGCTGACAACTACTTCACTGGATCCAAGGACAACCTCAAAAAATGGATTGGCCATCCAAGATTTGAGCTTATCCGTCATGGTAAAGTATCATCTTTTTTTACTGTCAACTATCAATGCCAATGAAATTGTCATAAGCAAGATAAAGTGAAGATTTTTGTTGATTTATTTTTTGCTCAGTAAGCTGATATATTTGAGCTTGTAGATCTTTTGCATTCAGCGTAAGCTTCATAGTTGTTACACCATGAATTAAAGAAACCATTATTTTTTAACTGATTATTTAATAACCAGTTAGTTAACCATCCCATGCTGTTGTAAGGGAACAATAATGAACTAATGCTGATAGGATACTATTCTATTGACTAGTTATGTCTAACTAAAGGGATACAAATAAGAGTAAATCATAGTTCTCTGCCTTCTTTCATCCATCCAGGAAATATATATAAGAAAAAACATGTTTCAAAAATTGGCTACAATCGAGTAACAGAAGGGAATCAAATAAATAAAAGACTCACTACTTGCCGGTTAAAACCATTTTCTATATTTACTTAATCGTTTTGGGTGGCTTGGGTTGCTGTCAGATACTGATTCTGCATTACTATGTTCAGCATTACTAGATCATTTTTGTAAACCAATGATGTTGATGCTAATTATGAATTTGATACATTGGTAGATGTCACGGAGCCTTTGCTGATAGAGGTTGATCAGATCTACCATCTTGCATGCCCTGCCTCTCCTATATTCTACAAATACAATCCAGTGAAGGTATAATTTTGAGAGTCTATTTGCCTTTCTAGTACTTCACATGCATACTAACTTTAAGGGAGTGATTGCTTTACAGACTAAAAAGACTAATGTCATAGGCACTCTCAATATGCTTGGGCTTGCAAAGAGAGTAGGAGCAAGGTTGTGATTCTTTTTTAACGATAATCTCAATTCGCTGCCATTAGTTGGTCTTAATTAGTTTGAATTTAACTGACAGGATTTTGCTTACATCAACTTCTGAGGTATATGGAGATCCTCTTGTGCACCCTCAACCTGAAAGCTATTGGGGAAATGTTAACCCAATTGGTAGGTTCCTTTATTTCATTCCCATCTTGAATAAAAGAGCTTCTTGAATGGAACTATTTCCATTGATGAATATGAACTCTAAATTACTGGAGATATATGTATCCTTTTATGCATATTCTTAAAGCTGTGGTCTGAGGTCTTTAATATATGATGATATCAGGAGTCCGTAGTTGCTATGATGAGGGGAAACGGGTGGCTGAAACTTTGATGTTTGATTACCATAGGCAGCATGGGATTGGTAATTTTCATGTCTTCTTTTCCTCATAATAGCTTCTCATTTTTTCTAAGGCGTATGCAGTAAGTGTTTCCTTTTTTAACTCTTCGCGGTGTTTTTATCTTTTCAAAATAGAAATACGCATTGCAAGAATCTTTAACACATATGGACCACGCATGAATATTGACGATGGGCGTGTTGTTAGCAATTTCATTGCTCAAGCACTTCGGTAATTACTTGACTGTTTTCTGGTATAAATTCGTGCTATAATGTAGTTACCTCTGCATGTTTTGTTATGGTTTAACCATTGCATGATTTGTTCAATGATCATGCTTGATTGCAACTCTAGATCGATCATTGATATAATATAATTGTTTTAAAATTTAATACTTTAAGTTTAGTGACTCGCTATAATTTTTATTTCTTTCTTAGACTTATTGTTATTTTGATTCAATCTCATTATATAATCAATGGTTCGTTATAGGGGGGAGTCCTTGACAGTCCAAAGTCCAGGAACTCAAACTCGAAGTTTCTGTTATGTCTCTGACCTGGTATATATCCCGTAATCTTTGTATCTTTGAATTACTACTACCTGAATGTGATTATGATTTTTATGAGATGTCCCAGGTTGATGGTCTTATTCGCCTCATGGAAGGGCCAAACACCGGGCCAATCAACCTTGGAAACCCCGGTTAGTTTCTACTGTAATACCTGTATTTGAGTTTTCTTAGTTCCTTAGTTGGGAAAGTATGTTTACTTTCTCTGCACCCAGTTACTTACCAGAGTACATTTACATTTCAGGTGAATTTACAATGATTGAACTTGCTGAGACTGTGAAAGAGGTCAGTTTTAAGCCTTTATTTTCTTTGCAAGCAGCATTCAATTCTCCTTTTTTTATTCACACGGTTGCTTTCATCAAGTTCAAGCTGTGAGTAGTAAAATGTCGCTTGGAATCCTTGGTTGCCCATATCTGGCTATTTCCTGGAGTAGAACAGCATGTTCATAGTACCAAATCAATAATACATCATCATCTATATTTATGTGCAGTGTTTGAATGAAAAAATTTGCTAGAAGTTTTCATCTAATGCTTTGTGAGTGGTTGCAGCTTATCAATCCTGATGTTGAAATCAAGATGGTGGAGAACACTCCTGATGATCCGAGACAAAGAAAACCAGACATAACAAAAGCAAAAGAATTGTTGGGATGGGAGCCAAAGGTGAAGTTGAGGGATGGTCTTCCTCTTATGGAAGAAAATTTCCGTCTGAGGCTTGGAGTTGACAAGAAGAAGTAGCTCAATTTCTCTCCTTTGGTGGCACGTCAAAAGTAGAAATAATAAGTGAAATGAGTCTGGCTGTTTTCAAAACCTTCATCATTATAGGTATTATGATACTGAGAACGTTGGGTACCTAAAATTTGGAGTCTATAGCTATCACACTGCTATATTTTGTTTTCATTTGGCAAAAGACTACATCATGTCACTTCAAATTTTGCGGGTTAAAAGACGAGTGAATTGAGCTTTTTTTTCCCTGTATTCTGGTTATATTTTCAACTTTTCTTTCTTAAAAGTCTTGGAGAACTGAGCTTTAGGATGTTATTTAGTGTGGAGTCATGCCATTTACTTTGAAGTGAAACTGATTCACAATATCGAAATTCATTTTATGTTGTATAATTGACAACGATTGTTTTGTAATAAAGTTATGTTCAAGCTTCATTATCATCTTGTCTGGTGTTGGAAGGAACTAATCTCAGTTACTTTTAGATTATTATTTTCTGCAGTTTTAAGGATTTTGAAAACAGTAAAAACAATTGTACGAGTATCACGAGAAAAAAATAAATACATTCTTTTGAATAACTTGTCAAAAACTAATTTATAAACAGATTAGTACTTGATAAGTTAAAAGTCGAAATTTGTTTTTGAGACCCCAAAAAAAGTAAAATTAAATATATTGCCCAATTGAATAAAATACACTGAAACTAAAAATATTTTCTATATTATTATTCAATCATATTTTTTCTTTTGTTATCCAGTTGTATTTTACAAATATTTAATTTTATAATAATTTCTTCAAAAATCGTGTATAAGAATATTTTGTATTAATTAACGGTATAAGAAGTTGTGTAGTGTGTGATTATTAAACTTATACAAATCTGAGATGCATTTTTATAAGTTTTGTAATTCTTCTCTGATCAAAACAAGGATCTTATTTGGATAATTTATATTGACTTTTACTAAAATTCTTCGTTACTTAGGTTAATCAAATAAACAAAAAATTATTCAAAAATAGTAAAAAGTAAAACCATATACGAAACCAGAATTGGTCCAATCATCATTTTCTCACAATTATCCTAGTCTTTGCTAGAATTTACTCCTTTCCCTTTTTGTTTCATGAGCATAACGTGATAAGCACAATGGAAGCTGATTAGATGAAATCATAGCCGCAGAAATCAAAAAGTTAACCACAGTAACCACCATATCCCGCCACCTCAACTACAGTGCTTTCGCCATTGCTGACGTGTGCTTCTTCAATCACCACCACTTGCAACTTGCAAACATAATAACCATCACGCTACAAAAAAAAACACTTCCTAGTGTCATCATGCATACATAGGTTCCTGTCTTCGATTTGGCATACTCCCATGAAAATAATATTACCCAAAACTTAACTTTAACCTTAACCAACCATCGTTTCCTTTGACCTGCCAACTGTACATTGCTTTGTGTGCTTTGTGGCTCCTATGATGGGAGTCTCCGGCGCCGATGACGACGTCGTTCAAATCCAGCATCCGAACAAGCCCGGCGACCCTTTCATCGTCACCGTCAATTGCCCCGACAAGACCGGCCTCGCTTGCGATATCTGCAGTATCATTCTCGATTTCGGTCTCTGCATTTTCAAAGGAGGTTTTTTCAGTCTCCAAACACTTTCTTGATCCCATTCGATTCTTCATTCTATTTTAATGCCTTTAATGGACCACTTTTGAATTTTTGCTTTAGATGTTTCAACCGATGGTGTTTGGTGTTATGTTGTGTTGTGGGTTATTCCACAGTCCCTGTTGCTTCCCATGAATTCGTCTTATCTGATCCTCAAAGAACGACTTCAGGGAATTTGTCCTCCTTGTTTAGCCTCCTTTTATCTCGTCCAGCAGCCTTCCAGATCTTCTCCTGTCTATCTGTTGAAGTTCTGTTGCCTTGATCGAGAGGGGTTGTTACACGGTAATGGAAATAGTGTCGCTTGAAATCATGTTTCGTTTGGTGTGTTTTGTTTGTTCTAATTCTCTTTGTTGATGTTGTTTATGTATGGTTGTAGATGTAACAAAAGTGCTCTCGGAGCTTGAACTTACCATTCAAAAGGTGAAAGTGACCACAACACCGGATGGTAGAGTGTTGGACCTGTTTTTCGTGACAGATAACAGGTGAGTGAGTCAAGAATTTGATTCGTAAAATCAAGAATGTAAAGTTTCTGTAATGTTCTCGATGGAATATGTTGATAATCCTATTTGAATCTCATGTTCTTTTCATGTCAGTTCTGCTGTTTTTCAAGACTGTTATGCTTATCAGAAGTTATCTAAGAATTGCTTTGGCTGAACATCTGTAGTATTTCAAGTAAAAGAAAATTAAACTAAATAAGTGAAATAAGTCTTTTTGCTTAGTTAAATGAACTTGTGCATATTCAAAATCTAATTTTGCAAAAGTTCATACAAGAAAGTTTATTTCATTTCTCCTTATCATTTTCTTTCTAAAAGTACTTATAAAAGACTCTTGGCAAGATACGCTAAATCTTAAAACTCTATAAAGTTATCATGCATTAAGGTTTATCTTACATGGCTGACCAAGTTATTGCCAATATTTTGGTTATAACATCTTAATGTAGCTTATCAACTGCTAATTATGTTTCGAGTGAATTCTGCTGCTTATAAGTTATCAGCATTTGCTTCAAATTTATTTTAGGGAACTCTTACACACGAGAAAGCGACAAGATGAGACATGTGAAAGACTGAATGCTGTTCTGCGAGACTCGTGTATCAGCTGTGAACTTCAATTGGCGGGTTCAGAGTATGAATATAATCAGGGTATCTCTTCTCTGTCTCCTGGGTTAGCTGAGGAGTTATTTCGATGTGAGTTATCAGATAATGAAGTTCGTTCTCAGGCTCTTAGCCCTGATATGGCGAAGTTGAAGAAAACCATCGTAACACTAGACAATTCCTTAAGCCCAGCTCACACGCTAGTTCAAATACGATGTGCTGATCACAAGGGTCTTCTTTATGACATTATGAGAACATTGAAGGACATGAATATAAAGGTATAATTTTCTCTACCAAGATTATTTGTAGCACGGTTTCCTTGTTAGCTTCTCACTTCCCTCTAGTTTCCTCTAAGTTCCGTGTTTTTCTAAAGCTAGAAAAACAACAATCATGCATCTGATTTCGAAAATCTGTGGGTTGATTTCCATACTTTTTTATCTGTTTTGTGAACGTATTNCCTTTTTTTATTCACACGGTTGCTTTCATCAAGTTCAAGCTGTGAGTAGTAAAATGTCGCTTGGAATCCTTGGTTGCCCATATCTGGCTATTTCCTGGAGTAGAACAGCATGTTCATAGTACCAAATCAATAATACATCATCATCTATATTTATGTGCAGTGTTTGAATGAAAAAATTTGCTAGAAGTTTTCATCTAATGCTTTGTGAGTGGTTGCAGCTTATCAATCCTGATGTTGAAATCAAGATGGTGGAGAACACTCCTGATGATCCGAGACAAAGAAAACCAGACATAACAAAAGCAAAAGAATTGTTGGGATGGGAGCCAAAGGTGAAGTTGAGGGATGGTCTTCCTCTTATGGAAGAAAATTTCCGTCTGAGGCTTGGAGTTGACAAGAAGAAGTAGCTCAATTTCTCTCCTTTGGTGGCACGTCAAAAGTAGAAATAATAAGTGAAATGAGTCTGGCTGTTTTCAAAACCTTCATCATTATAGGTATTATGATACTGAGAACGTTGGGTACCTAAAATTTGGAGTCTATAGCTATCACACTGCTATATTTTGTTTTCATTTGGCAAAAGACTACATCATGTCACTTCAAATTTTGCGGGTTAAAAGACGAGTGAATTGAGCTTTTTTTTCCCTGTATTCTGGTTATATTTTCAACTTTTCTTTCTTAAAAGTCTTGGAGAACTGAGCTTTAGGATGTTATTTAGTGTGGAGTCATGCCATTTACTTTGAAGTGAAACTGATTCACAATATCGAAATTCATTTTATGTTGTATAATTGACAACGATTGTTTTGTAATAAAGTTATGTTCAAGCTTCATTATCATCTTGTCTGGTGTTGGAAGGAACTAATCTCAGTTACTTTTAGATTATTATTTTCTGCAGTTTTAAGGATTTTGAAAACAGTAAAAACAATTGTACGAGTATCACGAGAAAAAAATAAATACATTCTTTTGAATAACTTGTCAAAAACTAATTTATAAACAGATTAGTACTTGATAAGTTAAAAGTCGAAATTTGTTTTTGAGACCCCAAAAAAAGTAAAATTAAATATATTGCCCAATTGAATAAAATACACTGAAACTAAAAATATTTTCTATATTATTATTCAATCATATTTTTTCTTTTGTTATCCAGTTGTATTTTACAAATATTTAATTTTATAATAATTTCTTCAAAAATCGTGTATAAGAATATTTTGTATTAATTAACGGTATAAGAAGTTGTGTAGTGTGTGATTATTAAACTTATACAAATCTGAGATGCATTTTTATAAGTTTTGTAATTCTTCTCTGATCAAAACAAGGATCTTATTTGGATAATTTATATTGACTTTTACTAAAATTCTTCGTTACTTAGGTTAATCAAATAAACAAAAAATTATTCAAAAATAGTAAAAAGTAAAACCATATACGAAACCAGAATTGGTCCAATCATCATTTTCTCACAATTATCCTAGTCTTTGCTAGAATTTACTCCTTTCCCTTTTTGTTTCATGAGCATAACGTGATAAGCACAATGGAAGCTGATTAGATGAAATCATAGCCGCAGAAATCAAAAAGTTAACCACAGTAACCACCATATCCCGCCACCTCAACTACAGTGCTTTCGCCATTGCTGACGTGTGCTTCTTCAATCACCACCACTTGCAACTTGCAAACATAATAACCATCACGCTACAAAAAAAAACACTTCCTAGTGTCATCATGCATACATAGGTTCCTGTCTTCGATTTGGCATACTCCCATGAAAATAATATTACCCAAAACTTAACTTTAACCTTAACCAACCATCGTTTCCTTTGACCTGCCAACTGTACATTGCTTTGTGTGCTTTGTGGCTCCTATGATGGGAGTCTCCGGCGCCGATGACGACGTCGTTCAAATCCAGCATCCGAACAAGCCCGGCGACCCTTTCATCGTCACCGTCAATTGCCCCGACAAGACCGGCCTCGCTTGCGATATCTGCAGTATCATTCTCGATTTCGGTCTCTGCATTTTCAAAGGAGGTTTTTTCAGTCTCCAAACACTTTCTTGATCCCATTCGATTCTTCATTCTATTTTAATGCCTTTAATGGACCACTTTTGAATTTTTGCTTTAGATGTTTCAACCGATGGTGTTTGGTGTTATGTTGTGTTGTGGGTTATTCCACAGTCCCTGTTGCTTCCCATGAATTCGTCTTATCTGATCCTCAAAGAACGACTTCAGGGAATTTGTCCTCCTTGTTTAGCCTCCTTTTATCTCGTCCAGCAGCCTTCCAGATCTTCTCCTGTCTATCTGTTGAAGTTCTGTTGCCTTGATCGAAAGGGGTTGTTACACGGTAATGGAAATAGTGTCGCTTGAAATCATGTTTCGTTTGGTGTGTTTTGTTTGTTCTAATTCTCTTTGTTGATGTTGTTTATGTATGGTTGTAGATGTAACAAAAGTGCTCTCGGAGCTTGAACTTACCATTCAAAAGGTGAAAGTGACCACAACACCGGATGGTAGAGTGTTGGACCTGTTTTTCGTGACAGATAACAGGTGAGTGAGTCAAGAATTTGATTCGTAAAATCAAGAATGTAAAGTTTCTGTAATGTTCTCGATGGAATATGTTGATAATCCTATTTGAATCTCATGTTCTTTTCATGTCAGTTCTGCTGTTTTTCAAGACTGTTATGCTTATCAGAAGTTATCTAAGAATTGCTTTGGCTGAACATCTGTAGTATTTCAAGTAAAAGAAAATTAAACTAAATAAGTGAAATAAGTCTTTTTGCTTAGTTAAATGAACTTGTGCATATTCAAAATCTAATTTTGCAAAAGTTCATACAAGAAAGTTTATTTCATTTCTCCTTATCATTTTCTTTCTAAAAGTACTTATAAAAGACTCTTGGCAAGATACGCTAAATCTTAAAACTCTATAAAGTTATCATGCATTAAGGTTTATCTTACATGGCTGACCAAGTTATTGCCAATATTTTGGTTATAACATCTTAATGTAGCTTATCAACTGCTAATTATGTTTCGAGTGAATTCTGCTGCTTATAAGTTATCAGCATTTGCTTCAAATTTATTTTAGGGAACTCTTACACACGAGAAAGCGACAAGATGAGACATGTGAAAGACTGAATGCTGTTCTGCGAGACTCGTGTATCAGCTGTGAACTTCAATTGGCGGGTTCAGAGTATGAATATAATCAGGGTATCTCTTCTCTGTCTCCTGGGTTAGCTGAGGAGTTATTTCGATGTGAGTTATCAGATAATGAAGTTCGTTCTCAAGCTCTTAGCCCTGATATGGCGAAGTTGAAGAAAACCATCGTAACACTAGACAATTCCTTAAGCCCAGCTCACACGCTAGTTCAAATACGATGTGCTGATCACAAGGATCTTCTTTATGACATTATGAGAACATTGAAGGACATGAATATAAAGGTATAATTTTCTCTACCAAGATTATTTGTAGCACGGTTTCCTTGTTAGCTTCTCACTTCCCTCTAGTTTCCTCTAAGTTCCGTGTTTTTCTAAAGCTAGAAAAACAACAATCATGCATCTGATTTCGAAAATCTGTGGGTTGATTTCCATACTTTTTTATCTGTTTTGTGAACGTATT